TATGAATGGATTCCAAGCGATGGTCGTTTGTATGGTATATCCTTTAAGACATCATCATTGGATGAAATCACTCATTCGTTTCTGAAGGAAAGGATATGCAAGAAGAAGAGCATAGATCCATTTTTAAAGAGGCTGAATCTGAGTTACATTCCACTGGTAGTAGAACCTAAGAGGCAATCATATATTTTGGATGATGAAGATGTGTTTGTGTATCTAACATCAGTGGATAAAGAGGGAAGAAGAAATATTTTGCATGTAGAGGTCATCGAAAGAATGGAAATAGTTCCAGTAACGGAGCAACAATCAGTAGTTGAGAAAGAAAGCTCATATGGTGGGAACTATAGTGAGCTTGCGAGTGGATTACACGAAGTTGAAGAAGCAGAACTATATCTACCAGAGGCTGAAGGGGTGGAGAATTTTGTTACTAGAGAAGTAGAGGAAAAGGAAGGGGGCATTGACGTTATTAATGGAGAAGCCGAGGAAAGAGGCATTAATGTTGTTATTGGAGAAGCCGGTGAAGGGGGCATTGGTATGGAAAATGTCGTTGACAATGAGGGCGACGTCGATAACTCCATGGGTGTTCGTCCTGTTTGGGACTATGCTGAGCTCCCATGTGTTGCAAAAGAAATTCCAGTGGTTAAAGAGTGAGAAGATGGTTTGGGTATTGAGTTGTTACAAGAATTTCCGAGTAAAGAAGCTGTGAAAGATATGATTGATAGAGCATCACAGCTGAACTGTTTCGGAATTAGTATCTCCAACTCGGACAAGAGTCGATATGTGGTGAAATGTCGGTTAGCAGCTGAAGGTTGTAAATGGGGTGTGAGAGCTACAAAGATAATTAATTCTGAAGTGTTCCAGATTAGAACATACATGAAGATGCATTCATGCTCTCGCGCAACTTCATGTACTGGAGTGAAAAGGAAAGTTACCCCAAGATGTGTTGCATCTATAATGCACAAGGATTATCCAAGACTATATGAGACACCAACTGCGAAAACCCTGCTCGGTCTGGTGAAAAGAAAATTGGGTGTGGAAGTGTCGTATACGACATGGTTGAGAGGAAAAAATCAAGCTGTTGCGGATTTGCATGGTGATCCCGAGAAAGGATACAAAATATTGCCTTCTTATTTGTATATGTTAGAGAAGGTAAACCCGGATACAAAAACAAGTTTGTTACTGGATGAACACAAGGGGTTCAAATACCTATTTGTTGCGTTGGGAGATTCCATTGAAGGGTTTGAATTCATGAGAAAAGTCATCACTGTGGATGCAACTTTCCTGAAGACTGTTGAAGGTGGTTGTTTAGTTATTGCCACGGCTCAGGATCCAAACCTTCACCATTATCCAATTGCTTTTGGTGTCGTTGATGGGGAGAGAAAAGAAAGCTGGAATTGGTTTTTCATGACGCTGAAAACTGTTATTCCAGATTCGACGGAATTGGTGTTTGTTTCAGACAGAAATGGAAGTCTGATAAACGCTATTGCTGAAGTGTATCCGCTGTCTAAACATGGGTATTGTATCTGGCATCTATCGCACAATGTGAAAGGTCATGTCAGACAGGGGAGGGACGAAGTTGCGAAACAATTCAGAAAAATTGCATGTCTTTATTCAGAGAATGGGTTTGAAATGCAGTTGCAAGATTTTATGGAGAGGTATCCAGCGTGTGGTAAGTATGTTGATAATACTGCCGATGTCAAAACTTGGGCGAAGTGTCATTTCCCCGGTGCAAGGTACAACATAGACACCTCTAATTGTGCGGAGTCTTTGAATGCGCTATTTAAAAAGGCGCGAAGCATGTCTTTATTGCCTATGCTTGATACAGTTATTGACAAAATGGCTGAGTGGTTCAAAAGACATAGGAAGGATGCAGCACCCGGACCGGCATCTCGAAAATTGGTTCCTTTAGTGGAGAACAAAATACATGATAGAACACCGAAAGGTTCAAGACTTGATGTGATTCCGCTGAACACTTTCCAGCTTGAATACCGTGTTATTGGAGAAGATGGGAAGACTTATTTGGTGGATTTGCACAAGAAAACGTGCAGTTGCAGGAAGTTTGATATAGATAAATACCTATGTAGACATGCAATAGGCGCTATCATTAAGTGTTTGAAGCATGATAGACCAATACAGGTGAGTGACATGTATGATTTCGTCTCGGATTATTACTTCATTAGAGTGTGGGCTTTGGCGTATTGAAGGACTGTATATCCAGTCCCTCATATGTCTGTGGGAACCGAAATTCACACTTGTCGATTTCCGTTAAATAAGAAAACTTAGGAAAACCCTAATTTTTCAGAGGAACCGGATCTCTGCGAAAGCCAACGACAAGTAACCAAATAAATGCGGAAAAATATGAAAAACGTAATAAAACGAATTTAAAGAAAAAGTAGATCTTATTTCGATTTCGCGTAAGGGCGTTGCTATCATTACAAGGGTTTACAAAGGCTTTGGCCGCAGGGCCGTCAGCGAGTTATCAACATAAAAACCTTAAACCTAATCGAGTCGCAGCTCGATAACAAAAGACGGAAAAAGATAAGAAAAAATATTTGATTGATTTCAGACTGAACCTTATGAAAGGCTGCCTACGTACCCTTTTGAGGGGATCAAGCCTTTCGTAGTTCGTTTCAGAATCAATCAAATCCTTTTTCTTATGTTTTTCTGTCTTTTGTTATCGAGCTACGACTCAATTAGGTTTAAGGTTTTTATGTTGATAATCGCTGACGGCCCTGCGGCCAAAGCCTTTGTAAACCCTTGTAATGATCGCAACGCCCTTACGCGAAATCGAAATAAGATCTACTTTTCTTTAAATTCGTTTTATTACGTTTTTCATATTTTTCCGCATTTATTTGGTTACTTGTCGTTGGCTTTCGCAGAGATCCGGTTCCTCTGGAAAATTAGGGTTTTCCTAAGTTTCCTTATTTAACGGAAATCGACAAGTGTGAATTTCGGTTCCCACAATGTCTGATTGGATGGTTCCAAAAGAAGTTGCGGATAAGTGTCCCTTACCTCCAGAGTACGTGAAAAAATGAAGACATCAGGAAAAAGGGTTTCCTTCGGCAGGAGAAAGACGGCCACGTCCCATCGTAATAAGTATAACCCGGATATTGGCTTGGCAAGCTATTTCAACTGCTCGCAGGGAACTCAAGGAACAGAAGGATCACGGGGAACACAAGGCACTCAAGGATCACGAGAAACACAAGGCACTCAAGGCACTCAAAGCACTCAAGGATCACGAGAAACACAAGGCACTCAAGGCACTTCATGCACTCAAGACAGTGAACACATGAGTTGATTGTGAGTGTAAAACTTGGTGAAACTAGAGGAGATCTTCAAAAAATTTGTGAAAACATGCGTTATATGAATGTGAAACTTGGTGAAACCTAACTAAAGTTATTGCGATATATAATGTGAAACTTGGTGAAACCTAATTAAACTTGTGTTATTATTGTTGATTTGGAGTAATTACACTTGCGATGACATTACTTAATCATATTTAAGGAATATGACGTAACTTATTCAACATGTTATGAGATCCGTATCACGTAGACTGAAATTTTTTTATAATGTGGATCACATTTTCTATCAATTGGGAAGGGAATACATCATTGTTAGATGTTTTTTTTTGTATACACTACATTGTGGGATTATAAAAGTTACTTATGTCACGAAAACAAATTGTTTTCTACACTGAAACATCTAAAACGTTCTAATAAAACAGAATATAGCTGGTATAACCATAAACTTAATCATCTAAGTATAGTAAAACCAACAAAATCGCAAAAAACAGAAAAGTAAAACTTAAAAGGTTTTTGTATAACTACAAACCAAGTGAAACTTTAAGCACGAAATTCATTTACAAATTTTTTCCGCCCAGCTTTTTTGAATTTTCCCCAAAATTGACGTAGACGTGTATGAATTAAAGCCATTGTTTTTCTGTTTCACCCATTTATTCATTCTCTCTCTAGAATTCTCGATTACTCAAAATCAGGAATCATCCACACGAGGAATATAGGGAGATGAAGGCTTTGAAGAGAGAATTCGACATGCGTGGCTTCGTGGCGGATGCTGAGTGTGGGATTCTAACCAGATGCCCTTGTGGAGGTAGAATCATCAATGAGGTGTCTCGGGACCCGAAGTATCCAACCGATTTTGATACTTTACCGGGGAGAAAATACTTCATTTACAAAAAAAATTGAGGTAATTTATGGGATACTTTCGGGGTTTTATTTATGTGCAGATTTTGATACTTTTCTGTTTCACGTGTAGAATGATGGCTTCCATTTCCGTTAACCATGGGTCTTCGGAGTCCAGTAAGAGGTCGAAATGTTAAGGAAGCGTGTGGATGCGATGGATAAGGAGATTGCCGAACTGAAGTATAAGCTTACCCATCCGAATCCTACCACTCCATGAGATTCGGATTACGTTATGTATTTATGGATTCTATGTTATGTTCACATCTTATGTATTTATGGATTCTATGTTATGTTCACCCGAACATCTATCTATTTCAGTTACGTTATGAACTATTCGTTATGAAGTCGGCATTTAACTCATCCTATGTTATGTTGAAAGTGAAACTTTGAAAGTTTCTCCCAATCTTCCTCTTTTTCGAGAGTTTCGAAGGAAGTTAGGTATACGAAGTTAGGCTAAGTTGGAAGTGAAACTTTGAAAGTTTCTCCCAATCTCCTTCTTTTTCGAGAGTTTCGAAGGAAGTTAGGTATACGAAGTTAGGCTAAGTTGGAAGTGAAACTTTGAAAGTTTCTCCCAATCTCCTTCTTTTTCGAGAGTTTCGAAGGAAGTTAGGTTTACGAAGTTAGGCTAAGTTGGAAGTGAAACTTTGAAAGTTTCTCCCAATATCCCTCTTAAAAACACACAAGTTTTAAATAACTTAAGTTTTAAACAACAAACTCCAACAAACATGCAAGTCATACGGAAATTCAAATATGTCATACAAACCGAATAGAGTTCAACCACATTAAAACAACTACAAACGGATTTCACTCCGTCTTCTTACCTACCTTCTGTGTCTTACTCTTCTTCGGCTTCAAGGGTGGCTTCTTCTGGGCTGCCTTCTTAGCTGCTGCCTTCTTAGCTGCTGCCTTCTCAGCTGCTGCCTTCTTAGCTGCCTCCTTCTCAGCTGCTGCCTTCTTAGCTGCCTCCTTCTCAGCTGCTGTCTTCTCAGCTGCCTTCTTCTCAGCTGCCTTCTTTGCACCTCTGATTTTCTTCCCTGCTGCCTCTTCCTCTGCTACCTCTTCATCTGCTGCCTTCTTTGCACCTCTGATCTTCTTCCCTGCTGCCTCTTCCTCTGCTACCTCTTCATCTGCTGCCTCATCCTCCTCTGATTCCTCCTCCTCCGCTCCCTTCTCCCCCCCAAAACGACGACTTCTTGTATTAACGGAACTCCTCACTTTTCCTAAACCCTTTGGTTTTTTCGAAGGCTCTGCTTCTTTTCCATCATCTGTTCTCCCTCTCTTTTTTTCATTCTTTGCCTTCCCAGCCTCTGCCTTCTTATGCTTCTCAGCATGAACAATCATCTGTGCAGTATCTTCATCCATGTTATCATGAACATCACCATGTTCCTTCAGCACTTCGTTTGTAACATCGCGAATGTAATTATTTTCGGCATCTTCTTCCTCCGACTCCCTACTCTCCTTATCACCACCATCCTCTTCCTCGGATGCGTTATCAACATCATCCTCTTCCTCCGACTCCTTACTCTTCTTATCACCACGATCCTCTTCCTCCGATGCCTTATCAACATCATCCTCTTCGTCCGACTCCTTATTCTCCTCCGACGGATTATCACCACTCGACCTAAGAATTTTCACTTCGTTTTCTACAAGAGTTACCTTGTCAGACAATGAAGAGACTGTTTTCTTCAAATCCTTCACATCATCCTTCACAGCATCTTCGACTGCTTTCATAAGCCGACCGTCCATCGCTTTTAAAGCCTCAGGTCCAGTATCCTCCACCGAATCTGAATGAGCCTTACCAGATTGCGCATTATTCGATGGGCCTCCGATTGTATCGGTGGGACCTTTTAGCTTTGCTGTGCGAGCCTCACAATCGATGCAGAACTTTCTTCAAAGAAAACTTGTGTCGAGCCTTTCTGTAATATCTTCGTCCAACGATCAACTGCTGCATCATCGAAGTCATCGGCCCAACAAATTTCCTTGTCCATCCCTATGGTTTCCAGAAGTTCTGCATCAGCTGTTTTTGCTACCAAGATACTCTCAATATCCTGTGACAAATACACAAAAAAATATTAACTGCCTTAATTTCACCAAGTTTTCATAAGTCTCATAAGTCCTGTCACCAAGTTTTCATGGTTTCACCAAGTTTCCGTCAGTCGAATTAATACAATTATCTCACCTTTGTATCAGTACCAAGTTTCTTGTTCATAGCATTGAGACTGAATTCCTTTGTTCCATTTTTGCGTTTGTACTCCATCTTTCACATTCGCGGGCAATCAGGACGTGCACCAATCACATTATCTCGGAAATGGTTCCTTAAGCTTGAGATTGCCTCAAAGGCCAACAACTACGAACACACCACAAATAAACATTAACATCAATTTAAAAGTAACACAACTAAGTAAAGAGAGCTTCAAAATACCTCCAAAGGAATAGGAAATCTTGTAAAAACCCAACTCCTCGGCGCAACCCCGTCGGATTTCTTCAAGAACCTAGAGACATCCTTCAAGTTATGTTCGAATGCATACCGCCCCCAAGGAAACGTTAAACATGCATCTAGGTCATCAACAACATTTAGGAAGAAACTGTCCACAGGTGATGCTGCGTCACCAGTCTTTCGGCCTCTGATGAGGATGCTAGCTAATAAGTACATAACGGCCATCTTCTTACGATCCTCAGATGGCTTTGATTTCCTTGACAACACCTGCTTCTCCATGTCAGCGTATGTTACCCTTTCCCCTCCAAAATACTTGTTCATGAATGCTGTACCACCAAACCTCTCATGGTTGGGGGGATACTCATGGCAGTATAGTCCAGAAATGAGTCCTAATTCTCTGAGCGAGTATCAGATTGGAACGCCATTAACGATAAACCATAACTCATTTTTCTTTGCTACACAAGCTGTTCGCAAAACGAGAAGCCACAGTCCCATCCACTTCTGCTTTCGGTTTTTGATATGGAAGAAATGTTGGAATTGTGGGTGCTCTATGAACAATACCATCTCCCTCTCTTTCAGGATTGTTTGCATATTTCTTATGCAAGTGTCAATGTAACATTTTCCTGAAAGCTTTAAAGACTTTTGATACTGGCTTGAAGGAAAGCTCAATTTCAGCGGTTGCATGCCTTCATGCTTGTCATCTACAACCTACACTCGAGTGAATACCGGATCACATACGACTTCTTACAACCATCAACATATAGTTTCACAAACTTTGACTTAGTTCAGCAATCACTCATTTAAAGTTTTTTTGATTTCACAAGGTTCGTACATCTATATTGTTGCAGTTCCACTCAGATTCACAAAGTCATCAACGCATTATAAGTTTCACTTTGTTTCTCCAAATTACACTAAATTAAATTGCACTTAGTTTTCCAAAATTATCTAATCTCTTCAAATCATCTTTCCTACTTACCGATTCTGCATGCGACTCAGTTCCATGTGGTCTTACAATTATCGCCGTTTCATAGTCTCTTAGGGGCTCCATTTCCTCTTCCACTTCTTTCGGCTCCTTCTCTTCTTCTCTGTCTTTATTCTCTTCGTCTACGGCTTCCTTCTCTTGTTCTCCTTCGTCTACGGCTTCCTTCTCTTTTTTCGTCGGTTCCCGGGGCGACAGATTCCTCGATGCGGCTTGGGTTTGCTTCATCTCTGGATAATATAACCATAGCCATGTCACCTCCTCTTACACTACTCGAGCCGTCTTCTTTTGACTTCAAATCATCTCGTCTCAACATGATTTGGTTTTGATTCTCGTTTGACTAGGGTTTTCAGAATTTTGATTTGTGCGAACGGTCGACAAAGGGAGTAGTAATTAGTGAAACCTATTCGGGAATTCAAAATGAGTAATCTGGAAGTGGGTATCCATTTTTTTGGGTCGGTTCAGGATCCGGGTTTGGATAGTCGTAGGTAGAGTTGTAATTATCTAAGTTTCTCCCAGTTTCGTGGGTTTTTAATAAATTTTCTATTTTTAAAAAAGATATATAAAATTTCAAATCCGGTCAGTTTCGGGCAGGAGTATCTTAGATCTTTTTTTTTTCGGGCAGGAGTACCTAAGCGTTTGACTCGGTTGGCTCTTCGTGCAGCAACAACTTTTCCTTTTAAATTTTATTAATAATGAGGTGCGTTTATTCTTTTATTTTTTTTTGATAATCCACGGTTCCCCACTTCACGGATCATTCCCTGGGCCCGGTCAGGCAGCAGTCCACTTCACCCGGGAGGGTTGTACCTGGGTCTAGGCCCAGTACCACTTTAGTAACATGGAAGAGGCAGTTTGCCACCGCCTGGTGTCGAACCCGTGAGCATGACAATTGACCCCAAGATCCTTTGCCAAGCGAGCTACCTCATCCCGTCAAAAAAGTTTATTCTTTTTCTTTTAATGAACAATTAACAAAAAAGTTCGTATCATCTGAAAACCTCTTGGAAAAGTCTTTGCAACTTCGGTTTGTTTCCTTAATATGCGTATGGTCGTGCCTTTGAGTTAGATGAAACCAAGATTTTCAACTATGTGGAGAGAGCAATTTTTTTATTATTGGTTCATATAGAGAGGTAGCCCCTGTTTTCATACTAACTTCTTTAAAGAGTTTGTTCGTATTCCGAACTCTACAAAATCGTGTAACCACCTAAAGTAACCGACTGTCAAAAAAAAACTAAACTAATTGTATTATCACTACGTATATTTAAATAAAATCGATTGTATGTTTTTATTATGTAAATTTATTATGAACATCAAAATTGATTTTCAAAATATTAAGCCCATATTTAAAAAAAGCTATAAGCATATTTTTAAAAAAACTATAAAATACGATTCCAACATTTTTTAATATAATAAAAACATCTTCTAAATTAGTAACAATACAATAATTAGTTTCAACGATAACTAATATATATCAGAATATTACCGAAAATATTTCCTAGTAAATGGCATTTTACTAGGAAATAACGAGGAAACACGTTTCGTCGATACACGTTCATCGTAAAGCTTTTTTTTGTCGTAAAGTCCTAGCGAATTTACGAGGGAACATTTCCTCGTAAAGGCGTTGTTAGATTTTCCTCGTAAGGTCCTCGTAGCGTTTCCTCGTAAGCTCGTAGTAAGTTTTTCCTCCTAAGCTTGTAGTAATACATTACGAGGAACTTACTAGAATTAATTACGAGGAAATTACTTGGAAACCATTACGAGGGTTTTGCTTCGAAATATTTTTTTCCCTATTAAAAAAAATTAATTATAAATATAAATAATTTATTTAAAAAAAAAAAAAATCAAATTATAAATAAAAAAAAAAAAAAAAATATTTTATAAATAACTAAATAATATACAATTAAGTTTTAAATTCATAATATACAATTAAAAATAAAAAAAACTACGGATGCTGGTCGTGAAATTGTCGAACGAACTCGTCCTGGCTCGCCAAATCCTGCTCCTCTCCAAAGTTGGTTGCCGGCTGTGACTGTGATGGTGGATGTTGTTGGGTTGGAAGCCCTCCGCATTCCCGTCTCTGACGCAACATCTCCTCCAATTGCGGGTTTCTAACCGCCAAAATGTCGAGGACATCGGTGACAGAAGTCACATGCTCGGTGAGCGAAGCCAACTGCGAGCGTAACCGAACGTTGACACCGTGCTGCTCCTGATGATAAGACGATGTCGCTGCAGGGACATCGTTAACCGAGCTAAACCTAATGATACGCCACTTTTTCCTAGGGGCGACCTGTAAATAAAAATATCAATAACGATAAGAAAAAAATTAAAATAAATAATAAAAATTAATAGTAAAACAAATTATTTACCTTCTCGTAAATCTTATCCACTTCAAGAGTGGATAATATGACTGGAGTCCCAGTCTGTTGAGTCAGCTGGGTCTGGCGTTCGTCAACTCGGGCAACAACCTCGTTGTAGATCCGCTCGGAAGCAGGATCTACAAACTGTCCAGCCTTGTTCCGGTGGGTCCTCTCGTAAAGGTCTTTCAGAGATGGAAGAACTCCTGTCTCTTTAGCCTAAAAGTAATTTTTAAAATTAAATATTAATTTGCAATATTCAAATAAAATAAAAATTTAATAGTTATTAAAAATCATCTTACCATGTCTAGACAAACTCCCCCATGAGGTTTTTGACCCGTGGTGTGAAGCATCTTCGTGTTGCCATGCTCATCTCTGGTCATGCGGTTCTCGGAGTTTGTGTGGGAGGTTCTGGCCGAGTCCGAAACCCCCAATAGCTGATGAGGCCGTCCCACACCGTGGTTGTGAAGCAATCAGGTTTCCCGTCCTCGTAACCATCCACCTGATTTTTAAAAATTAGAATTAAAGTCAATAATATTTTTAAAACTATATATATATATTATAATTTATAAATCTATACCTGATAGTCGCCCTTCCAGTTGTAGACCATGTCGAGCAATCGTGCTCTTGCCTTGCCCTCAAACTCCTTCACTCGCTGGTGAATCCTAATAGACCAACGATATTTTTGCTGTAACCAGAAAAAATAAGAGACGGATTAGTTCAATAATATTAATAATTTTCAATAATTAAAAATAAATTAAGTTGATCATTAAACTTACAGCGAACGATTTGAATCACGTCTTTTTTGTGTGGCTCGCCATCTTCTTCCAGTTTGGAGCTGCATCGGGAAAGTATCCCTTGATATAGTCTGTGACGCTAGTTGCGACACATCCGTCAAGACCAAACCTAGAAAGACACAAAATAAATCATTAATTAGATTTATTTGTAAATATTTTGTTAATTAAGAAATAAATTAAAAAAACTTTTAAAAAATTAAAACATACCATAATACGTTTTGGCCGTCCCGTCGGATAGGATCTAACTCTGGCAACCCTTCTCTGCCTGGAAGGGCCAAAATATCCTCCACCGTGTACACCGCAATGGGTGCGTTTGGCGGCACCTGCAAATCGGGATGAACCCGACCGGTGGAGGAGGAGGTGGTTGCCGGGACGCCGTAGAAGCTCTCTGAGTCTTGGGAACACGGTCACGATCCGGAATCAAAGATGAACCAGGAGCTGACGAAGATGAACCAGAAGCGTCCTGACGCCCAAAATATCTCCGTAGTGACTCCCCTCGAGAGACGACGTCCTCTTACCAGCAGCCCTAGCAATCTTGCTCTGTCTAGGCATCTATATTTTTTTTAAAAAAAATCAAAACATTATTCCCGTAAAATTAAAAAAAAACAGTAAAAAAAAGGAAACCAACCTAATCTAAATTACCTAAACTAACCACCTAATCTAAATTACCTAAACTAACCACCTAATCTAAATACCCTAAACTAACCACCTAATCTAAATTCCCTAATATAATCACCTTACTACGAATTAGAGAGTACCTTTAGAGGATTTAGAGAGAAGCTTACTACAAAATGAGAAATCGGATTGCTTGAGTATATATAAGGAATTTTGTTTCCATTAAAGCTCTAGTAACGTTACTAGGACCTTACGAGGAAATATCTATGCCTGTGTTTTTATTTCCTCGTAAGGTCCTAGTAATAACATTACTAGGACCTTACGAGGAAAACGCTTTACGAGGAAATAGCTATGCAAGCGTTTTCTATTACTAGGGCTTTACGAGGAAAAAGTTTATAAATCCCTAAACTCGAAACCCCAAACCCCAAACCACAATTTCCTTAACTTATAACCTCTTATACAACCAAACTCCTAACCTCTTCTACACATAAACCCCAAACCCCAAATGCAAATTGATTTTGTGATTAAAAAAACTTATAAACATACATAATTCATTTTTGTGATTAAACAAACTTATAAACATACATAATTCATTCGGATACATTGTCGTAATCTGTTGAGACATCATCATTTTCTAAAAACTCATCGTCTACACCATCGTCCGTGGAGTGATCAGGAACAGCTTCGTATTCACGATTATGCGGATCAATGAGTAGGAACTCATCAATTTCTGCTTCAGCTTCCTCGATCTCATTGGTGTTTTCTTCTTGTAATGGTGGTTCTTCTCCAGCGATTATTCGTCCTCGAGGTGTAACTTTGATAACAGCTAACCAGTTTATTCCGAGGTAGTAATCCAAGGGTATGGAATGAAGCAAACTTGATCTGCTTGGGAAGCTAATATGAAAGGCTCGAACTTGTTGTACCTACGAAAATAAAGATCAATGTAAAAATTAAATAATACTGGAAACCTGGATATCAAAATAAAAGAATTGTTGTACCTTCGTCCACCGTTGACATCAACTACACCGTTCTTGTTAATCCGAACACCTCTGTTTGCGACAGAGTCGTACCACTCACACTTGAAGATAACGCATTTCAAACCCATACCCGGGAATCGAACTTCATAAATCTCCTGCAAGATCCCGTAGAAATCTGTTTCGCTTTTCACACATATTCCATAATTACTTGTCTCCCGGTGTCTACCATAGTCATAGGTATGAAAAGTATAGCCTCGGGTGATCTTTCCTTTTGTCTAACTCAGTTGTCGATATACCAGGTATTGCTTCCTCGACTTGAGTCTCAAATTGGCTGTAAAATCATATATGTTATGTTATATATTTAATATTGATATATATATATATATATATATAAGTGTGTATGTTTATATATTTACCTTTAAAAATAAGCAATCAATGGATGCTCGCAATTAAGAAGAAAATAAATGTGTGCACTATGGACGTCTTCA